ACAAAACAGTTAGCAGGAGGTAGTGTTACGCAGTCGATAATATGTGAAAAGGCAAGGCAGTTGCATGACGATCTTGTAAAGAACATGCTGCAACAAGTGGTGATGCTTGTGATTTTAAGGCCAGCAAAGGTTGGGTTTTGAGAGATTTAAGAAGCGTAGTGGCATTCACAGTGTGATAAGGCATGGTGAGGCTGCCAGTTCTGACAAAAAAGCAGCTGAGAAGTTTGTACAGGAGTTTAAGGAATGCGTAGACACAGCAAGTGTTTAATTGTGACGAAACAGGCCTCTTCTGGAAGAAAATGCCAAAGAGGACCTACATCATGCAGTAGGAAGCGGCACTCCCAGGACACAAGCCTATGAAAGACAGGCTAACTCTCATGTTTTGTAGTAATGCTAGTGGGGATTTTAAAGTGAAGCCTTTACTCGTGTATCACTCTGAAAATCCCAGAGTGTTCAAGAAATACAGTGTCGCCAAGAGTAACTTGTGTGTGATGTGAAAGGCTAACAGTAAGGCATGGATCACAAGGGGAATTTTCCTAGACTGGTTTAATGAAGTGTTTGGCCCCAGTGTGAAGAAATACCTCCTGGAAAATAAACTGCCACTCAAGTGCCTCCTGGTAATGGACAATGCTCCTGCTCATCCTCCAGACTTGGAAGAGCAAATAGTGGAGGAGTTTAGTTTCATCATGGTGAAGTTCTTGCCTCCTAATACCACTCCTCTCCTCCAGCCCATGACCAGCAGGTCATTTCAAACTTCAAAAAACTCTACACCAAAGAAGTGTTTCAGAAGTGCTCTGAAGTGACCTTAGACACTGAATTGACCCTAAGAGAGTTCTGGAAAGATCACTTTAATATCCTCCATTGCATAAACCTTATAGGTAAGTCTTGGGAGGGAGTGACTTCCAGGACCTTGAACTCTGCTTGGAGAAATCTGTGGCCAGATTGTGCACAAGAGAGGGATTTTGAAGGGTTTGTGGCTGACCCTAAGGAACCTATGCCAGTTGTGGAAACTATTGTGCATTGGGGATGTCCCTGGGTTGGAGGTGAGTGGTGAGGATGTGGGAAAAGTTGGTGGAGGACCACAGGGAAGAGCTAACCACTGAAGAGCTGCAAGAGCTTCATCTGCAACAGCAACAGATCACATCTAAGGAAACTGCTGCAGAGGAGGAGGAAGAAAGATAGAGGAAGGTGCCTTCTTCAAAGATTAAGGACATTTGTGGACTGGAGTGCAAACATTTATGGATGAACTTCACCCTAACAAAGCTGTTGCAGGCCGTATTGGCAAACATGTACAATGACAGTGTTGTGTCCCACTTAAGGGAAATCTTAAAAAACGCCAGAAACAGACCTCTCTGGACAAATATTTTGTGCGACAGGGGTCCAGTGACTCTCAAGCTGGTCCCAGTGGCATTAAAAGAAGGGAAGTAACCCCAGATATGGACTTCATACCTGAAGTCCTAGTGGAAGGAGATTCTCCTTCCAAAAAATAGTGTACACCTTCTTCCTATCCCCTCCTCCGTCTTCCATCCATGCAGAAGTCTTCAGTAAAGGTAAGTGTAATGTTATTATTATTTATTTTAAATGCATGTACTTGATTTCTGATTGTTTTCATTATGTAAATCTTTATTTAATTTGAAAAAAATATTTTATTTTAATATTTTTGGGTGCCTGGAACGGATTAATTTTATTTCCATTATTTCTTATGGGAAAATGGTTTCGAGTTTGGGTGAATTTCGACCTTCGGCGGGCTCTCTGGAACGGATTAATCACGAAACTCGGGGGTCCCTGTATATGCTTCTTAAACTGTTGTGTTCTGAGCACCTCTGCAAAAACAGTGATTATGTGGGTGAGGTGAAAGGTTGAATGATGTGAAGTATTTCTTTTGGGGATTTCTTTCTTTTTTGGGTCCCCTGCCTCATGGGAGATGGCGACTTGTTAAAAAAAAAAAAAAAGAAACACCCATTACATACATGATTCAAAATGCTTATTGTGGCTGTGCAAAAAAAAAAAAAAATTCCCACCTTGAGATCAGAGCAGGGTATCAAATTATGTTCAATTTTGGGGAAGTAACATTGGCCAATGTGACTCAGTCATTCCAGGTACAGTTAATGAAGTACAAGCTCATGGTTTCAAATGAACAGGATTTTATACCCCAAGGCATGGCAAGGTTCATCCAGCATTCAAAATACTGTTAGGAAAGTTTCCCAATTAAATGGACTAAGATATGAAGTGATTTGCAGATCAACTTTTGGTGTCAATGATTTCAGATGCTAGTAATGACAAGGTGTCAGCAGCTTTGCATTCATTCAAATACATTTGCAATACTTCTTAGGACACAGAGATGTCAACTAAAGGCACATGTAGTAACTATTGCAAAGTTATCAACAACCTGCTACAACGTCACTCAAACTTTCCTTCAGTCTTGTTATTATCTGGTAACTATGGGACAAGAGTGATGAGCCATGGAGGAAAAGTTCATCAAGATGTTGCAAGTGGCAACACACTCAAAGGTAAGTGAATCTCAGAAAGAATGCTTATTTCTACTTAATGTTTAATCAAGCCAGCTGCCATGGCCTACTGACAGCCAGCAGGTAAACATTTTTCAGATATTTGTTGTTAACTGATACTGAAGATGACATTTTCTCGTATGTCAATAAACCTTTAGTTTAATGACACTAATAATAAAGCAGGGCTGGTGATGGTAATTGTAGGATAGATGCAATTGTTGTGACTGACAATTCTTTAAACCAATGGACTAGTTTCAAAATCATTCATCCAGTGTATTTTGGCATTTATTTCTGAAATCTGTTAAATCAAAGTTCATTAACCGAGGCTTTACTGACTCCGATATGCAGTTAACCGTATTATAAATTTTTTTTTTTCTTTTTTTTCTACATTATTTTATATGGAATTTGTGCATGGGGCTCACAAACAGAACATTCAGACCACTAATACAACAAAAGCTGCAGTTAGAATGATAACAATTCTCACTACAGGCAGCACACTCCACGCAATATTCAATACACTCTAACCACTCGCATACAAAACACCATACTTATTACGCAATATTACATCAAGAAACTCAACTCTGATATTACCTACCCCTAAATCTCCTTGCAACCTCAGAACAATGACCATAACAAAGCACAGATCACTCTTTGATATTCCTCGTGTCCATCTCACGCTATGCAAAAACTCAATAGCACTAAAGGCCTAAAATCTGGAATCATTACCTGTATATAAAAGAAACACTACCTGTTATATTCAAGTCTCTTCTCAAAGACACTACCACTCCAAAACCACAATAAATACTGAAAACTGAACTTATAAATTGTTATCTTAAATGTTTCCACATATATCCACATAAATGTTAAACCTAAAACCCAACTATTTATTTTTTTTAAATTCACTACCTAACAGAATTACTCCATTCACTGAATTTACAACAATGCAGCAAACCATATGACCTGTCTTTTGTAATACTCACTTGCTTTATAGTAATCAGTTTACATTATTTTTTCCATGATTTCATCATTGCTTAGTTAATCTTAATTAATTTTTAAGCCACCCGTATGCTATCTAGTATAAGTGGCTTTGGCATGCTGTTTATCTGTATTTTTTTTTTTGTACCTCTAAGTGTTGCTAATTAAATAAATAAATAAATAAATAATAAATAAATAAATACTGCAGAACCTTTAATTCACTCCATAATTTTTTTAAATTTAAATTTTGCTCTACACTGAATTAGTAAAACTAAAGTGATAATAAGTTTGTAATTCTAACCTTCTTTGCTTTGCTTCCTTTTTTTCAGTTTTCTCCACCGGTGATGAATATTGTGCTCTGTGAAGAGAATATCAAGCTCAAGGAGGGCTAAAGAAGTCAGTTTATGAAGGTCAGGTTCATCCAGCCAGTCCATGCGGGTCTGACCACATCGACTGGTCTCCAGCAGTAGATCCTAATAAGAAAATATAATTTATGTCCTTACGATTATAATAGAGTCAGATGCCTTAAGTACCAACCTAGTGTTACTTCACTTTAGGAGTTATTATGAAAACTCTAGTTTTTATCAATAAATTAACATGAGTACTGAAGACGTTTCTATACCTCATGCTTTTCAAGTTATACTTGCTGACTTGGCTTATTAAGCAAAGATCCTTTAGTCAAATGTGCCAAGTATGTACAGTATGGATTTATTGTCATTAATCTCAGTCTGAACTACATAAACTTAGTATATTTGATTGATGTTAAATGATATTAATTAATTTTAGGCTGACTTCTGATAGGTGTGATAAGATTATTATACGTATTACATAATATTTCCAAGATTAGGTAAGCATTTAAAATTAGGTTTAGTGAAGTGTAAATCATCTGAATATACTGTGTCAATCATACACAAGGTAATTTTTTCAAAAAATCAATTTATTCAAGACAATTAGTTTTTTGTTTTTCTCCAAGGGAAGTGGAACAGAATTCTTCCTCCGTACGCCATGCGTGTCATAAGAGGCAACTAAAATGCTGGAAGGAAGGTGCTAGTAACCACATCTCCTGTATAAATTACTGAAGTTAAAAAGAGAAACATGTTTTTCTTTTTAGGTCACCCTGCTTCGGCAGGATGCAGCCGGTGTATTGAAAGAACGAGAGAAAGAATTAAATTTTTTTGACCAACTTTAACACACTAGCCATTTCCCACCTAGGTAAGGTGACTTGTATATGAGAATTAACACATTCATCATCACCCATTCAAACAGAAGTGTGCTGACATCACAGTTCAGATGACCTTCCAAACTATAATATCCTTGCCCCTCCTTTAGAGTGCAGGCACTGCATTTCTCACTTCCAAGACTCAAGTCTGCCTAACCAGTTTACCTTCTTAAATGTTACCTTGCTCACACTCCAACAGCACTTCAAGCCTTATATATAAACAACCTTGCCTCCACTCTAATGCACTCGCACAAGCCTCTTGATTATTTTAGCCCTAGCACTCAAAATCTCTACCCACCCCTCTCCTACCCTTCCTACTATGACCCTCACCCCTCCTCCTTTCCACCTTAGATTTATATAATTTTAGCCATCCCATTCTGCTCCATCCTCACTAAATGCCCAAAACTACCTCATCAACCCTTCCTCAGTCCTCTAGAGTAATACTTTTGGTGACCCCACATCTAATCTCCAAGCTCAAAATATTCTTTATAATATTCACACCACGCACTGCCCTTAAACACATCATCTCCACTGCCTTCAACCTCTTTGCTGTGACACTGAAAACCAGTTTCACACATATAACAGTGTTTGTACCACTATACTCAAGTACGTTCTCCTTCTTTGCCTTTATGGATAAGGTTCTTCGTCTCTACAGGTGCCTCAGTGCACCATCCACCCTTTTTATTCCCATCATGAGTTTATGGCTCACGTCATGTTTCATAGACCCATCTACAAACAACTCCATTCACAAATATCTAAACACACTTCCTCCATACTCCTTCCCTCCAATTTGATACCCAATTTCTCAATGCCTAGATTTTTTGTTACTCTCATTACCTTGCTTTTTTTCTAGGTTTACCTTTGATTTCCATCTTTTGCATACTTTCCCAGTATTTTCTGTGAATAAAAGTGTACATATTTTTTTTTTCAACAAACCGGCCGTATCCCACGGCCGGTTTGAATCTCCCGAAAGATTCATGTCATGGGCAAAAAGGCAATTGTGACAGCTCCCACTTTATACCACATTTGTTATCTTTTAATACTACACCTCTCTCCAACACCTGAATGTTCACATTTTTCACAACCCGATCTATAAATGTTAAAACAACCATGGTGACATCACACATTCCTTCTAAAGCCAACTTTACTAGAAAATAATCCCCCCTCTCCTACTTGTATCCAAGAGTGAGTCTGGGAGCAGGTTTATGTCTCTATGAGACTCTCAAGAGGCACTCCAAACACACCACATATGATACCATGATAGCTACTCATCACAGGTGTCCTGTGACTCGGTTGGCAGTGCACTCAGTTCACTACTGAGTGTTCAATCCCTGAATTGGGTGGAAACGATGGGCATTTCCTTACACCTGCTGCCCTCTTCACCTAGCAGTAAGTAGGTACCTGGGTGTTAGTCAACTGTTGTAAATTGCATCCTGGGGGGTGGTAGTATACTTCAGAAAGGGCTGGACTTTGAAATGAGCTGAGGTAGGATAACAGCCCTAGCCTGCAAAATTGATTTGTGTATAAAAAAAAAGTGTATAACAAAACTTTGGTGGGAGATAGCAATATAGTAAAAAAAAAAACAAATCATATATGTTGAAGAGCATACTGGTGTCTTAAATAGAATTAGTACACTAATTAATATAGCAGGATGTTAGTTATGTCTATGCTAAGCAATGATTACATTTAAATGTTGAAAAAAGTACAGGTGTTCACCCTCAAATCCATTACTTACTGGGAATTCATCATCATATTTCTGGTACAATACTTTAAAGCCCAGGTCAGTTGCTGAGCTGGAGCGAGGTCTGTTCTCTCTGTTCTCCCTATTTTCTATGTTCTCCCTGTTTTCTCTGTTCTCCCTGTTTTCTCTGTTCTCCCTGCTGTCTCTGTTTTCTCGAATGTCGCGATGATCACGAACTTCTCTAGGATGGCTGACTGAATATGTCTTTCTCAGTTCTGTTGATGTCCGACGAGAGTCCTAGTAAAGAACGTTAAGATTAGATTTCTACATTATTCTCCTGATGTTTGCTTCGTCTCTAATCTCACACTCAAAATGTATTTAGAAAATTTACTAGACAAAGTTTACTCTATTACACTCTTATTCTAGGAAGTAATAAATAGGTTAGTAGATCTGAGCCAAGGACCATTGTATTTCCAGCATGTTATCCCCTTTATCACTACCTATTAATAATAATATCACTGTTTATTTTGGGAAAAAAAAGTCACAATACTGTGGCTGGAACACTACAAATAACTTAAAACTGAATATGAAAACTGGATGACATTTAGGTCTGCTGTACACTTTTTAATGGTTTAGGATGAAAAAAAAATGTCTGGTTTTATTTCCAAGACATATATTGGTCAATTGTTTATTACTTTTATTGAAATCGTTAACTTTGCACATAATATGCATTACAAATTATGTACACAAAAAATGCTTGAGTTGGGTAAACTTTTACAAGTTGGTCCCTGCATGGGAGTGCCTTGATGATGATAGTGAGGAATCTTGATCAAAGAAATTGGAGCTACTCTCCCCTTACCTGATCAAATCTACCATTCCCTAGGTGTGGTATGACCACTACAGGTGTAGCACTTCCCCCATAATATAATAAATTACAAACAGAAAATTACTAATGATTAAAATTTCATGATAAATATGGTGAAATTTTGCATTAGTTGGAAAGTACAGACCGTGACAGAGTTCAGATCTTGAGTGGTGTGTGAAATGTTGGAATCGAGGGAAGGCCTTTTCTCCTTACAGCGGGCATGGGGTATGTGGACAGTTCCAATGTAGCGGTAGTTGAGCACCTGCACCTCTGTCATCATAGATATAGTGAATCAGCATTATGGAATAAAAATAAAATAATGAACACTGAACACTTATCATTGTTAAGTAAAAACTCACAAGGAGACAAACTGAAAAAGTTGGTGTGTATATTTCTACCCCAACTGGAGCTGTTTTCAGTGGATGAAGAGGCTCCAGGTGAGGGTTAAAATATACACACCAACTGTATTTTCTAACAAGTTGTACAAGAATGGTATACAATACTGACAAAATGAAATTAAGACATGTGTGAAACATCTGGGTATCTTATTGTAGACGTTTCACACCATCCAGTGGCTTTATCAATACAAATTCCTGGACATAACTTGAAGACAGTAGAACTATATACAGAAGACGAGGTAATCAGTCCCTCAACCTTGGAGTTGTGTGAAGAGCACTGTAGTCGTGGAGATTCTGAAGCAGAAGCAAGGAGCCTGGCATTTTTATACTAACGTCAGGTGGAAAGGGGACGTGTAGCAGACGAGGGCATAGTCACCGTAGGCAGGATTCCCCAGTGGAAGTAGGTCCTACCCAAAGAGATGGGTTAGTTGTAGTAGCAGTTGTCGTAGTCATGAAGGTTATGTACATGTCCTCAGGTTCCTTGCTTCTGCTGCAGAATCTCCATGACTATGGTGCTCTTCGCATCAATCCAAGGTTGAGGGACTGATTACCTTGTCTTCTGTATATAGTTCTACTGTCAAGTTATGTCCTGGAATATGTATTGATAAAGCCACTGTATGGCAAAACGTCACAGTAAAGATACCCAGATGTTGCACATGTGTCTTAATTTCATACCTTTGATATACCTTTGAAGAATTTGAGAGTATGTCTACTCTCTGAGCCCGGCCATGGCCAGGCTCGTCTAGTGCTCCCTGGTCAACCAGGCTGTTGCTGCTGGAGGCCTGCTGCCCCACATATCCATCACAGCCTGGTTGATCTGGCACCTGGTGAAGATACTTGTCTAGTTTCCTCTTGAAGGCTTCAACACTTGTTCCAGCAGTGTTTCTGATATCTTCTGGTAAGATGTTGAAAAGTCTGGGACCCCGGATGTTGATACCGTGTTCCCTTATTGTCCCCACCGCACCCCTGCTCCTCACTGGGTTTATTTTACACTTCCTCCCATACTCTCTCTCTCCAGTATGTTGTTATGGCAGTGTGCAGATTTGGACCAAGCCCTCAAGTACCTTCCAGGTACTGTATATATTATCATGTACCTCTCTCTCCTCCACTCCCAGTGAGTACATGTTCAAGACTTGCAGGCATTCCAGTAGTTTAGGTGCTTTACTAGCTCAATGTGAGCCGTAAATGATCTCTGTATTTGTTCCAGCTCCGATATTTCTCCTGCCCTGAACGGGGGCCATCAGCACTGAGCAATATTCTAAGTGAGGAAGCACTAGCGATTTGAAGAGTGTCACCATCAGCATTGTTTCTCTTGTTTGAAAGTTCTCAATATCCACCCAGTCATCTTCCTGCTGTCGTGATCTTTGTCTTGTTATGGTCTTTAAAAGAAAGGTCCGCTGACAATAATTATTCCTAGGTCTTTTACGTGTTCCTTATGTTCTATTTGGTGACCCTCTTGAGTTTTGTATATAGTGCTCCTTTTGAGTTCTCATTCTTTCCATACCTAAGCAGCTGGAACTTATCACCATTGAACGTCATGTTGTTTTCCACTGCCCACTGGAAAACCCTGTTTATGTCTTCCTGTACTTTTTCAGTGTCCTCTACCATACTGACTTTCATGCTTATTTTAGTGTCATCTGCAAATGATGATACAAAAGTGTGCCGGGTGTTTTTGACTATGTCTGCTATGAGGATGAGGAACAGCAGAAGTGCCAGGACAGTGCCTTGGGCACTGAGCTTTTGACCTCGCTGATGCTGGATCTTGTCCTGTTCACTACTACTTTTGTGTTCTGTGTGTTAGGAAACCGAAAATCCATCTGCCTACCTTCCCTGTAATGCCCATGGCCTTCATTTTGTGCGCTATCGACATTTGTCAAATGCCTTTGCAAAATCTGTGTAAATCACATCTGCGTTTTGGTCATGTTCCAGTGCCTCCGTAATTCTGTCATAATGGTTCAGCAGCTGTGACAGACATGATTGTCCTGCTCTAAAACCATGCTGGTTTGGGTTATGTTGGTTGTGCTGGTCCATGAAATTTGTAACCTGCCGTCTCATCAATTTTTCAAAGATTTTTATGATGTGAGAGGTTAGGGCTTACTGGTCTGTAATTTTTAGCTAGTGCTCTACTACCCCCCTTGTGCAAAGGAGCTATGTCTGCACTCTTTAAGCCTCCGGTATTTCACCTGTATCTAAGCTCTTTCTCCAAAGAATACTGAGGGCTCGTGCTAGTGGTACTTTGCACTTCTTTATAAATAGAGCATTCCATGAATCTGGTCCAGGTGCTGAGTGAGTGGCATGTTTCTATTTCTTTTTCGAAAAACATGGGGTTTGTACTATGTCAGTTAGTTGGTCGTGCGGCCTTCTATGGAGTGAAAAATATTCTGCATTTTTTTACTTGCTTCATTTTGCCCTTTC